TTATATATATATATATATATATATATATATATATATATATATTTACTATATATATATATATATTTACATATATATATATATATATATATATGTGTATCAGAGCTATCTTTATACATTGGTTTGCATAAAATAGTTTTTGTGTAAATTATATGTACTTGTTGATGTAGAATTTGGGCTCAGGGATAAGGTTCTATTTACCTGTAAACCGGAAGGGAGAACGATGACACCCGGTTTTTGACTGTTCTCTTGGAGCCATGCAGTCCCCTCTTCATTGGTGGCAGTAACGCTGAAGAGCGCTACAAGCAGCAGACATAACCGAAATAGAGGAGCCATCTGCAATGAATTTCAATCCTATATACTTAGAGATTATGGCTGCACGTTGGAATACATTGGAGGGATATTCAAGGGTGCAGCACACTCAGAGTTTAATCCGGGTAGAGTCATTCTCACAAAAAAATAAGGCATTCGAACAAGAATATTAACGCTCAGGGGCATGGCATGCCTGTGCGATGGCATCAACTGCAAGGAGCGCCACATCGAGACATAGCTATTAATTGCCATTCCCTGTAGATTCCCTTTGAAAAGGAGCTACGCCTGTCTGCTTCAACGGAAGATAATTCAGCCCGTCAACATGCTTGTCCAACTTTCACAAGCTGAGATTTTGTATGCATTCACACGAGCACATGTATTTCCAGGCAGAAATATCTGAATTGAAAGGTATATTTAAAAACAAACATGTGCCAATATTCTTTCCCACGAGCACCCACTCAGATTTTCAGATGTTATTAAACATCAATTCAGGGACGAAAGTTCGCTATTTAAAATCCATGAAATATATCAATCAGTACACGGCCACACGCAAGCACACATCCAAATACTCATCCATCTGATTTTACTTTGTTTTTTTTTTGCATATACACAGAAAACACAAGTTTCTGTGGACCCGTATTGAGAGATGCATTATTTCAAGCACACGCTCCTTTGCAAATGGAGGTAAAAATCGCAGAACACACCGCTGAGCATGAGCCACACGTTGTGAATTACATTTGACCCACTTGTATTTAGTATATTTACATAGATGATGGATAAATATGCACAGTCATCCATCATACAGGGAACTCACCTTGTTATCAATTATTGTGAGTTACTGCTCGCACACGCTTTTCAAATATAGTTAAATATATCTCATTTATTTCATAGCCCTATAAATAATTATTTGTGTATTGACATAAATATAAATATATTGTGGCGAGTTTGACTCCAAAGTGACAGTGTGACACTGACAGCCTTCTATCGCGAAGGCTAATAAATAATTTTAAAATAATATATATATATTTAGGCCACAACCCTCTAAATTATACAGCCACAAAGTATATTCCTTTTTCTATAAAAAACTAGCCTTGTGAAAATTGAACAGCGCCCAGCTGCCAGCAGTAAATATTTAAAAAAAAAATACTAAATATCAGCAAAACGTAAAAACTCGCATATTTTGTTTTGTTTTTAAAAACTGGGCCGACCGACCGTCCGTCAGTCAGACCGTCTCTCTATTTATGTTTTTAGAGAGAGTCGTCGACGTCCGTCGGGGCGGACCATGCCTCTGCACTCTGCCCTCTGCACTCTTGCAGTCCCCTGAGTCCACTCTCGAGTCCCAGAGTTAATCCTGAGTTTCTGACTCTCCCCACCAGAGACAGAAAGGCTAATTACATATCTGGTGTTATGGATTATGTATGGTAAAGATTTCAAACATGTTCATGTGTCAGTGTGTTTGACAGAGTGTGTGCAGTCACAGTAGTGTGTAGTCAGTATGTTGTGTCATATGTTACGTGTAGCCTTCTATAAATTTAAAATTTCACAAATGTATCTACTGTAGTCTGTAGTACTTTGTGTTTGACTGTTCGTGTATCTCTCAGTCTCTCTCTACCGGTTCCCACCCAGGCCCCAGTAGCAGAAAGGACTCAGAGGAGTCACTGTGAACAAACTGAGAACAATCACAACAGTAAACTTTAACATAAAACCAATCACTGTTGTTTAATTCTAATGTAATCGTTGGCGAAATGTTTCAACTTTAGATATTACGGCATGTCATTGATGCGATTTTATCAATATCCAACTGGGCAAGATGCATGGCGGCCATAGCCATAGCCTCCTAAATACATTAAAAATTCGGAATATTTACAACTGACACAATATTTTAAAAACTGAATAAATTTAGTCACACAAGAGAAAGAAGAGTCAGAAGACTCGCAGGCTAAATAAATTACTCGCAGTTTTCATGTTTTTTATAGATATGAAATATGTGTTTTACTTTTAAAAAAAGTCAGTCTGTCACTCTGACTTCGACTCACTCAGTCTCAGAGCCTCTAAATATTTAAATAGTATTTGTTTTTATAACAAAATATTTACGTTTGACCTGAGTGGTCAGGCTAAATCTAAAAACATTTTTTTTTAATGTAAATATTGTGTTATCGAAAACAATTTTTATCCAAAACGATTTTGATTTTTATGCACTTTCAATTTTCATAGAGGCCGTTCTTTGGACTATAAAATAAAATAAAAATACACAAATAAATATATCCATAAAATATACGCACAACTGGCTTTGCTAGAGCTTTTGTATATGTGCTAATTGCAATATATTTACATCAAGATCATATTATCTATCATATTGGAGTGTGCTATGTCACACCGCCCTATAGTGCATTTCAAAGAATGATGGGATATCGGATAGCATTCCGCGAGATACTACGCTATCTAATTCTGCTTCTACTGTTCGTTGGTATGTGTCACATATTTTGTACGCTGTGTGACAATAGCGCTAACTGTATGGTTTTTGAGTTATTAAATGAAAACATTATCCTATATCAACAAAATATGTCTCTTGCATATACTCAATCAATGTATATGACTTTATATATATATATATATATATATATATATATATATATATATATATATTGTACTAACACACACACACACACACA